TTTATGAATTAAGAAATGAAGGATTGACTCATATCCCTGGAACTCATTGCCTCATATTCTTGGCATTCACTCAATCACCCAGAAGTAACTAAGAAGATGGATTGATGGAATGGATGATTGAAATGCTGACAACACCTGACAGACTTGGAAAGTTATCCCATGAAGTGAGATATATTCTTAGAGCTTATGACCAATTTATTGTTCTCACATAACCAGAATATATAGGTTTGGAACCAAAGGGACAGGAAGAAAATGGCTCTTTTATTGTTATATCTACTGGTGTACTGGTAAAATTGTGATTTCTATACCTATAATTCTAGGACCTGTTGGTTTTGAGGTTTCAGTTCTTTCGTTTTCTGTGTGGTGGGAGCCCTCCTGAAATTCAAGTTCTTAGACACCTGCTAACAGCCTCAAGTGGGCTCAAGTGGTCCATCTTGGGCAGCAGAAGAGATCTTCAACTTTGTGAAGAAGGATGCCATCACTGCATGTAAGCCTTGGAAGCAGGCCTTAAAGGGACAACATTCAGGCCAGCTCCATCCACTGTATTCCATATAACTTCTAAACCACTCACCTGGCCTGCCTCTCTGGGCCATGGGATGTTTATGTCACAATGGGTCCTAAATAGGATCTTTTAGTACTGCTGTGTAGCATACAGTGGTTATTATTTCCTATGAGTCTTTGGAACACCCTCTCTTCTTTGGGGATTTTGTGTGATAATTCCATCATGTAAAAGAAATAAGAAGGATTGGAGCTATCCAATGATTGACTCCTCTGGATTGTCTTTTTGGTCCATCCTCTCCTGCCCATGGCAGTCTTGAACAAAATCAAAATCACATACCTGGTAAGTGAAAGCCTGGAAGCAGCTAGGACTTCCTTTTCAACCTCTTTCATTTAAGTGCTCAAAAAAGGCACTGGTGGCTCATCCCTGTAATCTTAGCTACTCAGGAGGCAGAGATATGAATGCAACTGGAGACTCTGGTTGCTCCCTGAAGCAGAACCTTAGGTTCTATAACAGCCTACACTGCTCAGCCACACCTGGTAACTACCTTAAGTCTAAAGTCCATGAGGTCTGTGAGTGACTTTAGAACTAAGCAGGCTGTTCTTCCTTAGCAAGCAAAATGAAGCTGATGGTACACACAAAAAAGAGAAAGGTAGCTTACTTTGGGTAATACTTGATAAGGTATAAAAAAATTAAAATTTTTTTCCTAATTATAAAAGTAATAACAGCTGGGTGTAGTGGTTCACTTCTGTAATCCCAGTCACCCAGAAGGGTAAAATGGGAGGATCAGGAGTTTAAGGCCAGCCTAGACAACATAGCAGAACCTTAGTTTCCAAACAAAAATGAGTAATAATAACTACCATAATTGAGCACTTACTGTGTGCAACACACCTCATATAAAGGATCTTTGAAAGTACATAAGTGAAGGACTTGTGGGCATGGTTCAATGGATAGAGCACTTCCTGCCTTAGGAAGTTTAAAGCCCTGAGTTCAATCCCCAGAACCTGGTTTTGATATTTAATGTTTTCCCTTTTGTCATTGTGTGTGTCAGCTTTTCATCACAGTGACAAAATACCTGACATAAACAACTTATAAGAGGGAAGTTATTTAGCTCATGATTTCAGAGGTTTCAGTTCATGGTCACTTGGCCCTATCTCTGTGGGTCTGTGATGAGGTAGAGTATCATGGGCACTGAAGTTTCAGTGTCCACTAGGTATACAATAAAGGTCCCATTGACTAAAGGTTGTAAATTTCAGATGGTCCTTTGGGGTCTTTGTGCCAGTGAACTAACAACAAAGAAGCATTGTTACTGATCTTGTTTGTCAAGGACAAATAAGGTTTTGGAATCCTGAGAATTTTATGAGATTCCTCTTGGTATTCTAATGCCTAGAAGCTAAGAGTGATGGAGAGCTAAACCAATTCAATACAGTCAAGACCACTACTATTTCAGACCCTCAAGAATGGAGGTTTGAGTTCCTTTTCCACGTAAAGAGCAATTATCAGCTAAGGTTTTGGATGAGAACATGGGAGCATGAAATGAAAAGTTACAGAATTAAAAATGATAGTCACACACATTTTCTTTCTTGCACTATTACATTTGTATTTACCAAGTTATTTTTTTTTTCATTCCAATATTTAGGGTACTAGTTGGTGACAGATGCCTTAATTTATTCTTTAAATTACAAAAGGGGAGCTATAAGAAGAAGAATATCATACAGAGATGAATGGACTTGTTAACAGGAGTTTGGGTTTCCTGATTGTCAGAGAGGATGACGATGTTATCCTTTGAAGGGTACTTTGGCCATATTCAAGAGAAGGATGATGGCCTGTTATGAATTTCAAGTATCTTTATAGGATGCTGGGTATCCAAAGGGGCAGACAATGCCAGATATTGTCAAATCACAGCATCATTCCTGCCGATTTAGCCTCTCTTGTTTTCAGGATCTGATTTATAGAATTTAGTCAATGAATGTAACTCACTGAAGATCTGGAAGGTGAAAAGGAAAAATAAACCATTGTGTTTTGGCATCAGCTTCTAGTAAACATATGTGCAGACAGCAGACATGAATTGTGCAATAAATGATTCCTGACAAGCCTGCAAAACACCTGATTACTGCAGACAGTGGAATCCATCTATGTCAGTTTTTTATTTTCTGCTTTTCTTGGGATCCTCTGAATCATCAGTATATCCCTAGAGCTCTTTCTTTCTATCTATCTCCTTACAAAAGTTTATAAACATTTAGTCTACTCTCTTAATTCTCTTCCTATTTAAGTGGCATGACTTCTAGTCTCCTCCCCACTGATGGTAAATACCTGTTTTCTCTTTGCTTCTCCACTATACCTGGTCTGTGTTTATCTCTGTGAGATGTGATTTAGGCATTGCTATGTCTGGTGACTACTTGCTATACAGCAAAACTATCCCAAATTTATTTAGTGCCATGAAGCAACAACCATTTTATTATGCTCACAAGTTCTCTAGGTCAAGAATTTTGGAACCATGGCAACATGGCTTATCTTTATCAAACTTGGACTGGACTGTCTGGGAAGATGCATAAGCTAGAAGTCACTACACCAATGGAGACTAAAGTCATTTGAAGGTTTCTTTGCTCATGTGTCTGGCACCTGGACTGGAAGGATTTGAAGCATGCTCATGCCTGTTGTAGTGCACACAAGTGGATTAGCTTCCACACAGCATGGCAGCCAGATTTATTTCCACTGAATTATATTAGTCAATTGCAGTTGCAAGCCCTCCCAGAGTCAAGGTAAGGGATATAGATTCCCAACTCTTGAGAGGTGAAGTGTCTAAGAATTTGGAGAAATGTTTTGAAACTTTAATATGATCTGACTGGGAAGACAGAACTAACATATTTACAGGTTATTTGCTCTTCCTCTTCTACCATTTGAGCCTCAACACAAATTCTTTCTCTACAGAGCCCTGACCTGACACCTTATAAAACAGTGGTTAAGCACTTTCAGTCCTCTGATTTTCTTTCATAGTACCTATTACTACTTCAGATTTATTTAATTGCTTCCTTACTAATTATTTCCCACCTATATGAGAATGGTATCTCCCACCCACCACTTTGATGGTAGGGTCATATCATTTCCATTTTTGTGTCTTGTTATGGTTATGATATAAAGTGTCCTACATAACTTTTGCAGGCTTTGTGACCAGCTGGTGGATCTAATTATGTAGAGAGAATTGAATCATGAGAAGTCTGATCCAATAATTAATTAGTGTGTTGATGGTTTCATAATTTGATAGAATTATTAGGAGGTGGTACAAACTAGGAGGTGGGGGCTGGTAAAAAGAAATATACCACAGGGGGGCATGTTTTGAAGGGTATACATAGTCCCTGGCCCTGTCTTCTGTCTCTCTCTACTTCCTGGTCATCATGAGGTTAGCTGTTTTTCTCTGCTACACTCTCTCCACCATGATATCCTGTGATGTAGTCAAGTGATCATGCATTGAAACCAAACCATGAATCAAAATAAATCTTTCTTCCTTTAAGTTGTTTTTCAAAGGTATTTTGTCACAGTAATGAAAAGAAAACTAAAGCAGGTCTCCAGTTTCTAAAGCATGGTAATAGATTGTAAAGCATCAAAATATACTAAATAAATGAATAATCATATAGATATGAAAACATCACAAGAAAGTGATAGACTACCTACGTAAATAGAGTTTCAGATGGAAATTCATGATGGAAACACTCAAAAAGGATTCATGTGATAGAGGCTGAAATTGACACAGGGATTTAAGGAAGGAGCAAAGGTCAAAATGGGGATTGTACATTGAAGGCCAGAGACAAGCCTTATTTATCTTTCTATCCCCTCTACATAATATGGATATATGGACCATTTAAAAATTCTCAAGAATATATTTTTAATTCAACTGAATTCAGGGAAGTGGGCATTCCAGGAGGTGGAGATTCTAGGTACCACACAGATGGATTTTATGAAGAATTAATATATATGTAAAACAGAAAAGCATTCTGAACCTACATGTTTGAATGAAAATAAGATTGAAAAATCTCTTTTTAGATGTAGTCCTCTCTTGTGACTGACTCTCTACTGATTCCATTTAATTTAGAAGGAGCTTTGGTCCTCCTGGTAAAATGCCCACTAGATACAGAGTCCTCCTACCTCCCGATCCTCACCAAAACCAAATCCCAATGCTTATTCCAATTTTGTTGATATGAAGACAGGTGGCTCTTCCAGTATTTCTACTCTCTGCTTATAAAACTAATGATTCTTCAATCAGGCTGCTCATTGCATTCTTCTCTTTCCCCTGGTAGCTAAATGAATCTCCCCTTAGGTAAATTAGGCTTCTTATTATTTTTTTTGTATCATTCTTTCTTTTGGCTGCACATATGCTTATTTCTTCATAAGGAAAATCAAGCCAGAAAAAAGCACATCAAAGTGGTGGTACTCGAGGCGGACTCCTCCCGATCCGGGTCGGCCCTCGCCTCCGCTCGCTCGCCTCGCCCTCGGTCCCCGCGCCATGGAGAAGACCGAGCTGGTCCAGAAGGCCAAGCTGGCCGAACAGGCCGGCGCTACGACGACATGGCCACCTGCATGAAGGCTGTGACCGAGCAGGGCGCCGAGCTGTCCAACGAGGAGCGCAACCTGCTGTCGGTAGCTACAAGAACGTGGTCGGGGGGCCGCCGCTCCGCCTGGAGGGTCATCTCCAGCATCGAGCAGAAAACCGACACCTCGGACAAGAAGCTGCAGCTGATAAAGGACTATTCGGAGAAAGTGGAGTCGGAGCTGAGGTCTGTATTTAATAGCCAATGCAACTACTCCAGAGAGTAAGGTCTTCTATCTGAAAATGAAGGGAGATTATTTCCGGTACCTTGTTGAAGTTGCATGTGGTGATGATCGAAAACAAACTATAGATAATTCCCAAGGAGCTTACCAAGAGGCATTTGATATAAGCAAGAAAGAGATGCAACCCACACACCCAATCTGCCTGGGGCTGGCTCTTAACTTTTCTGTATTTTACCATGAGATCCTTAATAACCCAGAGCTTGCCTGCACACTGGCTAAAACGGCTTTTGATGAGCCCATTGCAGAACTTGATACACTGAATGAAGACTCCTACAAAGACAGCACCCTCATCATGCAGCTGCTTAGAGACAATTTAACATTATGGACATCAGACAGCACAGGAGAAGAATGTGATGCGGCAGAAGGGGCTGAAAACTAAACTGCAAACAGGGTGTCGTCCTTCTTCCCTTCAAGAAACCTTTTTACACATCTCCATTCCTATTCCACTTGGATTTCCCGTAGCAAAGAAACCCATTCATGTGTATGGAATCAACTGTTTATAGTCTTTTCACACTGCAGCTTTGGGAAAACTCCATTCCTTGATTTGTGTTTGGCTTGGCCTTCCTGGTGTGCAGTTACTGCTGTAGAAAAGTATTAATAGCTTCATTTCATATACACATAAGTAACTTCCAGACACTTATGTAGAGGCTAAAAATGCATCTGGTATAAGTAATCTGAACCAGTTCTACAAGTGACTGTGTTTTGTATTACTGTGAAGATATGAAAAGTAGTTAATTACAATTTAAAGAGTGTTCTACATTACCTTCTTAATTTCTACATTCCCTCCTTTATTCTTTGGGGGTTTCCTTTCAGAAAGCGACTTTTCCATGCTCTTACTGTATTCCTTTTTAGTAGGAATCCAGATGTATTAGACTGAATGGGAAAGTACTTGATGTTTCTGGGCTGGGGTCACAAATTGAAATGCCTCCTGTTTTCACATATTAGGAGGTTATGTCTGTCTGTGACAACAAGGAGTTTCCTATTCATTCTTTATTTGCTGCTGTTTAAGTTGACAACTTCCCTTCCCAATAAAAATTCACTTACACCTCCTGCCTTTGTAGTTCTGGTATTCACTTCAGTATGTAATAGAAGTAGCATGTTGCTGCCGGAATACAAGCATTGCTTTTGGCAAATTAAAGTGCATGTTATTTCTTAATACACTAGAAGAGGGTACACAAGTCCAAGTCTCTGAACCTGTAGTACTTTTCCATGCAGATTTGTGCACATGTGAGAGGGTGTCCGGTTCATCTAGTGATTGTTCTTCAGAGAGTTGGACCGCTATTGCATGTTGCTAATCATTGACTGTAGTCCCAAAAAAGCCTTGTTATGCCCTATGTAACAGCAGAGTAACATAAAATAAAATTACATTTTATAAAACCATTTACTATGGCTTTGTAACAATTGCATACCCATATTTTAAGGGACAGGTGAATTTACTACTTTCTGAAGTTTATTGATACTTCTCTTTTCTTATGTAAAATGTCTTAGTGATGCCCATGTTTCTTCCATTGTGGTTCACTTGTTCTGAGGATGCCTGGAAATGTGTAAAATTGGATTATATTTCTTAGAGTGGTTACCATATATCGGTCTCATGGTCCATCTCTTCCTTAGATGTAAATGATAATCTGGTTAAGTGTCATAGAATAAAGTGGACATTTTAAAATTAGAAAAGCTAAAAAAAAAAGAGAAAATCAAGCCAGATACAAACTTTTTCTATATTTTTCAAATTATTTATTTTCAAAAACTTTCTTTTATTAATAGGCAAGTGAGTTGAAATGATTTTTGAACTTAATTTCTAAGGCTTTTACCACTTATCTAATGTAAATCTCCCTTTATTGTTATGACAGACCAGCAGACAATTATCCTTTTTTTATCTCAGTTGTGCAATGACCTGTATGAATAAAGTGACTTTTACGAGATGCCCTAACAAGTAACCAGAAATGTAAGCAACTTTAAATCAACATACACTGAAAATTACTCTCTAGAAAAGGCATTTGCCTTTTTCCAGAAGCACTGTGGGAGACATTAGAATATACAATATAATAAATTATTTTTTTCTGAATATTTACCTTTTATATTATTTATGATGAAATGATGTTGAATTTTATTAAGAAAAAGTTGACATAACTAATTTAGATATAGACTCCTTCTCTAATATCCTCTTTTTCACCTAAGTGTCATCATCTCTTAAATGGGGATAGTTATAGTGTTGCCCTGAGTTAACTCACTGATATATAATTTTGAGGCATTTGGCTTTATGTTATCTTATTCCTTTGCACTATATTGACCCAGGGATGTTTACTATGTAGAAATGCATAGTGATGGCATTGAAAAAGAGAACTAGCCTATTGATTCATTTTTATTCTTTTTATAGAGCATAAGACCCAAGCTTACCTAATTTTAGGAAAGAAAAATAAATCCATTCATTTTATAATCCTGTGTAGTGGGAGGGAGTCATTATTGATAATGTTGAGAATTGCTCTTCATAGTTTCAGGCTGAGAGATGGAAATTGATCAAGCAAAAGTATTCATTTAATTCACCCTGACAAGAGGTCTCTGCAAAGGGCCAAGGCAGATCTGCTTGGATGCCAGGTGCCAGGCTGGACTGTAGAGATTACCACTGTTCAACAGAATTGTCTCATGAAAAACTCATCTTTTATAACCTCTGAGTTAATTTCTCTTCAGGGTCTTCTACATCATTTCCTGTTCTGTAATTAAATGAAGTACCTAGAGATTCATATTACTTTTTCCACCATTGAGGAATCACCTGCATTGTTTATCAAGATGGAGGCAAGGGGAATAGAAAACCCCATATACCACTGTATATGCTCAGACATAATTGGCCAGTTCTCTTTTGGATGGCATTGCATCTGCTCAGTGAAATTGTGAAGCACACTTACTCTTGGAACTGACTCACTTCTAGACTGCTTTCTCTTTGTCTCCCATAATAGAACAATAAGCAATTCAAGGGCAAGGTTATTTGTTCTCTTCTGCTTCCTTGGTGCTTCACCTAGCATTTCCCAGCACACACCTACAGTCCTATTTAAATAACAATTATCCCGCACTGAGTCAGAGCAAATAACAAAGCTTACAGCAGATTCATTTCAAGCCTCAATGAACTGGAGGGTCAAAACCTTGGGAGAAAACTTCATATAGTTCAGTCTTTTTGGATCTCCAGATCTCCATTAACAACTTTTGCAGCACAATGGTATAAATAATGCCTGAAATATTATTGCCTTACACTTTTGAATCATTCCTTCTTAATTTGCAGGCAGATCTCTAAATATTCATTGTTAATCATTCTGTAATCATTAAGGAGCATTTCAAAAAATTAGTCTTATTTCCAAACACTTTACCTAAACTAACTCATTTAATATTTACAACACCCGATGAAGTAGGTACTAAAATTATCTCTACAGATAATTAGAGATGAGTAAAGGTTAGGAACTTGTCTAAAGTAACAAAGCTAAAAAAAAGATCTGAGAGATTTGATCCTATATAATTTTGTTCCAAAACTTTGAATACTTAGCAAACAGGTTCTTGTTAGCACTTGCTTGTTGATATATAAATACAAGGAAAAAAGGGACAAGAAGTCTAAGAAATCCTGATACAGAGAGCTCTCCAGACCACATAGAATAAAAGCAAAACACAACAAACAAAAACATACAAAAAATACATTCTTGTCAGTATGGGTGATTATAGAGGAGATAAAGAAATTCAAACTCAGTTGGATCCTTTGTTTTTTAATTTAGAGCTGAAGTCTGAGATGAAGAGAGGCTCAGAGAAAAAGGAGATTGAGCTGGATTTTTTCCTAACCCTAGATAGAAACTTTGGGGAAAGGAATCTATTTATTCACCTACTCATTTATTTGCAATATGAGACCTTAAACTCAAGGCTTCCTGCTTGCTAGGCTCTTTTGCTTTCAGTTGGTTTTTCAGAGAAGATCTTCTTATTAGCTTTGGCCAAGCTGGCCTCAGACTATACATCAGACAAAGGACTGATAACCAGAATATATAGGGAACTTAAAAAACTAAATTCTCCCAAAACTAATGAACCAATAAAGAAATGGGCAAGTGAACTAAACAGAACTTTCTCAAAAGAAGAAATTCAAATGGCCAAAAACACATGAAAAAATGCTCACCATCTCTAGCAATAAAGGAAATGCAAATTAAAACCACACTAAGATTCCACCTCACCCCTGTTAGAATAGCCATCATCAGCAACACCACCAACAGGTGTTGGCGAGGATGTGGGGAAAAAAGGAACCCTCTTACACTGTTGGTGGGAATGTAGACTAGTACAACCATTCTGAAAAAAAATTTGGAGGCTACTTAAAAAGCTAGACATCTATCTACCATTTGATCCAGCAATACCACTCTTGGGGATATACCCAAAAGACTGTGACACAAGCTACTCCAGAGGCACCTGCACATCCATGTTTATTGCAGCACTATTCACAACAGCCAAGTTATGGAAACAGCCAAGATGCCCCACCACTGAGGAATGGATTAAGAAAATGTGGTATCTATACACAATGGAATTTTATGCAGCCATGAAGAAGAACGAAATGTTATCATTCACTGGTAAATGGATGGAATTGGAGAACATCATTCTGAGTGAGGATAGCCTGGCCCAAAAGACCAAAAATTGTATGTTCTCCCTCATATGTGGACATTAGATCAAGGGCAAACACAACAATGGGATTAGACTATGAGCACATGATAAAAGCAAGAGCACACAAGGGAGGGGTGAGGATAGGTAAGACACCTAAAAAATTAGCTAGCATTTGTTGCCCTCAACACAGAGAAACTAAAGCAGATACCTTAAAAGCAACTGAGGCCAATAGGAAAAGGGGAACATGTACTAGAGAAAAGGTTAGATCAAAAAGAATTAACCTAGAATGTAATACCCATGCACAGGAAATCAATGTGAGTCAATGCCCTGTATAGCTATCCTTATCTCAACCAGCAAAAACCCTTGTTCCTTCCTGTTATTGCTTATACTCTCTCTACAACAAAATTAGAAATAAGGGCAAAATAGTTTCTGCTGGGTATTGAGGGGGTTGCGGGGAGAGAGAGGGGGTGGAGTGGGTGGTAAGGGAGAGGGTGGGGGCAGGGGGAGAAATGAACCAAGCCTTGTATGCACATATGAATAATAAAAGAAAAAGAAAAAAAAAAAGAACACAATTCTCTTATTTCCCACCTCCTCAGTAGCTGAGCTTAGAAATGTGGGTTACCATGTCTAGCTTGTTTTTGAGGTAAGTTTCATTAACATTTCCCCTGGGCTGACCTGGAGCCATGATTCTCCTGTCTCTGCCTCCTGGGTAGCTGGGATTATAGACATTCACCTCTATGGATGGCCCTGGGACAAGGAATCTTAAGATCCTCTTGCAGTGGCCTAAAAAAGCATATGAAGAGATAGTGAGAAAGACTGACTTAGTGCTCTCAAGTCAGGGAAGAAACTTACAAGTTCTCATCGCTCCCTTACAGCTCCTGTCAAAGCTGGAAGAGTTTGATTGGATCAAACTATCCAGGGGAGGTGATCTTTTAATCCAAACCAGCACTGGAGCTAAACTGCCTGAGCCTAGGTCAAAACCACAGTGAGGGTCAATGAGAAAGTACATGAGGTTGAATTGATAGTAGTGACAACCAGGACCAGATCAAACTGGGCAAGGATGATCAGAAGTTACACATATAATCGCAAACTGAAGCTGTATCTCTATAGAGGAGGAGAATCTCCACACATTGGCAACACAACTATAATGAGAAAGTCATAGAAGTATACCCAATTTGGGCAATTTTAATTGGTAATATTAAAATAAGATATTTAAAAAGTCTTCTATGGGGACTGGCAGAGTGGTTCAAGAGATAGAGTTCCTGCCTAGCAAGCATGAGGCCCTGAGTTCAAACTCCACTGCCACTAAAAGCAAACAAACAATAAAAAAAATCTTCTAAGTTACATTCAAATGTCACTTTAAAGTATCTACAAGAGGGTCCAACCTGAAAAAAAGTGGAGTCATTTGTGGACCCTGAATTATCTGGGGAG